GTTTCACTTCATTTGGTTTGCTGATCCTAAAACTACTGGAGTGGAGTTTTAGCTCTAGACCAGACGACATTTGAATTTTTGCTGGAGGACTGTGTGGTGCTGAGCTATTTGAACTAAAACATCGCTTCTTCCCTTGTTGCATTTGGACACAGGGACTGCATTCTTAGACTTTTCAGTACTTTGTCACAATGAAGCTTTTCTCCTGCTGCTTACCATTACTATTTGAATTTACCAGTACTCATTGTATTACATTATTGAGGCTGTAGTGGAGAGAATTGGGTGAAGTATTTAATAGCAAGTTGCCAGCATTTCCTTAGTGATTTTTGCAGACCTGCCTGTCAACTCCGGGGAATTTGAAGATCAGCTTTAATGCAGTACCTCTGTGCACATTGGACACAGAGTGGATTTTTCTCTCTTTTGAATGTCACTGGCAGGGACTGACTGTGCTTTGAAGCACCACGTTTGTCTTTGCACAACAGTGTTTCCCAGGCTTTCTTCATATTGTGCCACCTGTAACTTACTGCAGATATTCAAAAGAAAGTTTCCTGCTAGCTGGAAGGAAGGCAGTCTTGCAAAGTTTCCTCCTTGAATGCTCTAGGTGCGGGGGTGTGTGCTAGGACAAACAGTTTTGCTGTTGCTTTACTGGTTGTCTCTGAACTTGGTTTGCATTCTCTTTTTAAAACAAACAAACAAACAAATGACTGGAAATCTATATGGATAGGATTTATAGCAGTTTACCTATCTGTGATACTTGCACACTGTCTAGACCCGACTCTTGCAAAAAAACCCCTCCCTATAATAGGTAAGTCAAAAACCCCTGTCATTTTAGCTTAGTCTGTTCCACCTGTTCTCTCCTAAGTTCTGTGGTCACCCGTGCAAAACCTGCCCCATCTGCTGCAGAGCAGCGAAGATCTCCTGCAAGAAGCACAGGTAGTCAGGAAACTCAGGCATTCCATCTGACAGGGATGACACAGCTTTTCAAATAGTGCTGGCAGAAAGCTCTCTGAAAAGTCCCTGGGTCATCTTTTGAAAGACTGCTCATAAGGAAAGAAGTCCTTTAGGCTTTTAATGGGTGTTGGTAAGTCAAAATCATTCTCTATAGTCGCTGTGATGAAAATCTACATTTTGGCTTAACATGTAACAGTGGCTGCATTACCTGTCCTAGTGTGTACATGTGTACTGTTTTCCCCCAAAGACTTTCTGCTCAGAGGCATTTGTGGGGGTTTTTAAAAATAATTTACGCACTTGTTTCACTGTTTAATGCAACAGTGTCTTTCAGATGTTTGATGACAGCAAGACTTCCCACCTGAATTTTGGCACAAGGGTACAATTTGGTCAGGTAGGGGTGAAGAAACAGAGAACTGGGGGTGACAGGTGCTTTGCTGGAAAACAAGCTCTCGCCTACAAATGCTACCAGGTGTCTCTGATATCTCCAGAGAGAAATTGCTGTTCCCTGCCATTTCTTGGTGTTTGAAGCATAGCTGTTACAGCAAGAATTAAGGAGCGTGGGTTCCAAGTATTATATAAACAACAATGGTGATAAAATGTTTTGAGCAATCTTTTGGTGTTTCCTACGAGGTTGTAACCAGCATTGCAGCACCAGTAGCAACACTGGATACTGTGTCATTTTGTGGGGCTTCTTGGTCCCTCACAGAACTCCTGAACCTCGTTTCACTGTTCTATGGGAATGAAATTTTTTTGTCTTTCAGACAACTAATCAAGGTGTAGCAAAGGTGCCACCCACCACCTGTCCCCGCTAAAGTGAAACACATCTACTTGCCTTCCATGGGTCAACCCAGTCATTTGGAACCTTCTGATCCAAAGCTGGATGGAAACCTGCCAGAGCTGCCTTTGGCTATCGTACCTTTGGGGAACAAGGGAAGGCCAGTGGCACAGCAGTCCACCCATCCTTCTCAGCAGATTTCAAGCCAAGCCTTTCAGTACCTTCCGCAGATTCTTCCTCCAGCCAGGATCAAATGCTTCCTTCCTCCGAAAAAGTGATCAACCCCCCCCACACACACACGTGGCTCTCTGTCAGAGCAAACCTGGTCATTCCAGTGGATCTCTCTTCAAAACTGGGATTATAGGGTTTTCCAGGAAACAATAACAAGGACAGAGGTGAGTTCACAAGCTTCCAATTCTAATTATTTGATGGACATAGGTATGATCCTTTTATGTTTTACAGTCCCCTTTTTCTTGCTGGAATAACTTTAAAATGATTCCTTTAACAAAGCGTGTGAATTTGAGAATTCAAATTGGAGAGGAAATGATGCCAAACGAATGGCAGAGAGGGCTCACAGAATCCTCTTGGAATCCTGGAGTGGTTTGGGTTGAAACGGCCCCTCAAGGATTATCTCATTCAGGGACACCTGCCCCAGGCAGGGACACCTGCCGCTGTGCCAGGTGGCTCCAAGCGCCGTCCAGCCTGGCCTTGGCCACTTCCAGGGATGGGGCAGACAGAGCTCCTGTGGGCAACCTGTGCCAGGGCCTCACACCCTCCCAGGGAAGAATTCTCTCCTAAGGTCCAATCTTTCCCATTTTTCTGCAGGAAGTGGGCTGTTACACAGGAATTGTGGGGTGGGCTCTGCAGTGGGGACGACTGCTGCTGCCGGACGGGGAAGGTCACCTTCCCCCTCACACCCAGAAGGCTGGGAAGGGATAACATCTGCCTGGAGCTGCCTGGAGTTGCTGTTGCCCTGGCCTTTCTGTGCCAGTCATGGTCGTGGGATGATGACAGGATCATTCCAGCCTCCGGACAGACAGCCTGAAGCCAAGTCCCAGGGCTGTGCAGGGCAGGCAGCTGCCCCTTGGCCCCAGAGTGCAGGGGGGTGTGGAGGGAATGGATTGCCTGGGCTTTGGCAAATGGATTGCCTGGCCCGTAAGAAGACTAACTGACCTCTTCCAACAGGAGAACACTGAAGCAAAAAGTGCCAGAAAGAACTGGAGTTTCTGCAGAATAAAACCTGAAAGTATCCCTCTGAAACTCACCCCAGACCATCACTGGTCTGACTTCTACAGACCAGTCGCCTTGGCCAGCAGGAGTGTCCCAGCAGTCCTGCCTTTGCCCACCATGGAATTTCCATTTGATGCTGGCAAAGCTCCTCTGGGTGACCCCCAGCCTCTGGAATGAGCAGACTGGGCTCCCAGGGCACTAGGTCCAGGCTTGTGTTTAGGAAGAGCAGGGGAGCCTTTCCCTCGCCCAGAGGAGCTGCAGTGTTCACCCCTCTGGAATAATAAGAAGTAAAAAAAATAAAAACAAAACAAGAAATAAAATTTAAAAATAAAAAGAATAAAAAATAAACTAAATAAAAAATATAAATCACAAAAGAAAATAAAAAAAATTAAAAGCAAGAAAACTAAAAAGAAACACCACCACCACACCCCGCACCGGAGGAAGGACAGCGGGAACGGGGAGCGGGCGGGGCCCGGGGCAGGCCCCCTCAAGGGGTCGGGGCCCGCCGGGGGCGGCCGAGCCCGCGACACCGAGCGGGGAAGGAGTGGCCGCGCTGGGGCCTGGCCAGTTCTCGGGGCACGACGGCACTGGTGGTCTCCAGTCTCTCCCGGGGGCGGGCGGAGAATAAAACGAGCGTTTTGAGGTGAAACCGCAGAAATTAGTGAGGGGCATTCTAGGGGTAAAATGAGGGCCGGAAGTGAGAGCCGTCTCCGGCCCTGAAAGTCTTATAGCTCCGTAACAAGAAATGCCCGCCCCGGACCAACCGGAATATTTCCAGTGCTGTACAAAGAACACGCCCCCCGAGCGGAGAGTCCTGCATTGCTGTGCAAGAAGATGGCGGCCCTGGGCCGGAAGTATTCCAGGCCAGCTCTAAAGATGGCGCTGCCAGCACTGAGAATCATCCCAGCCCATACAGAAGATGGTGGAAAGAAGAACCCAAAGTTATTACGTATTCAGTTGTGGGACTTGGTCTGACAATTTGAATTCTGGGCTGAAACAAAATATCAACAGAACTTTTCTTCCAGGAAAGAAAACCTGTAACCTTTGTGTTTCAGGTGCAGTTGGTGGGCCAGCCTGGGCCACTCCATGGGCAGCAGGAGCTTTCTGTGCTGGCACCTTTTGTCCAGGAGGAATCTTCGTATTCAGTTTTGGGAGTGTCCCTGCCCAAAGGGAAGAATCCTTTGCCAATGGTTACATTCACAGCTGGGAGTGACAACAGTTTGTTCCAGCAAAGCAAGCTGTGTAGGCTGTGCCTGGGAGGTAAATGCAGGCAGGAATGTCTTTCCTTCCATACCCCCTTGTGGACTAGTTTGCCGGACAGCCTACATTGGGGCATGCTGTGCTGCCCTCAGGGCTTCTGCTGCTGCAGATCCTGCAGGAAATTTAGAAGAGGGAACTGGTTTGGGTCAAGAAGCACATGGGAATTTTTTCTACTGGAGGCAGAGGGTTCGCTGTTGGCTACACAAATACTTCTTGTAAGGCAGATAAAAAATAATGTAACAATAATGATGTTATATTCATGTAAAAAGTTTAGGACACACATTGCACATCTGGAGCAATTAGATGGGATCTTCTCAGTCAATCTGGAACATCTGTGCAGGATGCCTCCACAATGGCAGTGCAAGAACAAGGCTGTGATGGTATATTTTTATATATATCTACATTACACACTTGCTCAGCTTGAGATCTGATGTGCTGTTGCTGTTGGCAAAGCCTGTGTGTTCCCAGCATTGTCATTCCTGGTATCATTCTGCTTTCCAGGGCAGGATTTCCTGGAAGAGTATGAAAGCTGTCTTAGCTCTGATACTTTTTCTAGCAGCCAACTATCTGCCCAAGTACCCACTGATTCCAGGAGATTTCAGTCAACCAGTGTGCAGCATCACCAGCTTTCCCAGCTCTGGAACTGGCAGCTTGGCATATGCAGCTTTTTGAAAAAAGCAAGAGGCATCGCCATGCTATGAACAAACAAGATGGGACCGTGAAAAATAAATAAATCAAAGAAATAAAAAAATTAAGTAAATAAATAAATAAACAAACTAGAGAGTGGTTCAGGCTTTCAAATTTATTCTCATTTCCTTGACCAATAAACTTGACCAAGCAGTGACCAAGCATTTACCTTGTGACTTTTATTTTTGCCACCGCAAATGATCCTTTCAAACTGACTTTCCAAATACAAACTCAGTTCATTAAATGACAGACAAACCCAGTGAATGTAAGCGGAAAACACTCCTTCTTTGGGATAGTGGCAAAAGTAATCTTGATTCTTTTCTGGAGCTGTGAACACTTTCTATGTGTGTCCCCTGAACATTCTTGATTTCAACTCCTTAGCCTGAACCTAAGGATATTTCCACGCAGGATTCACTTGAGACTGACGGGATTCCTGTGTACATCTGTTTTGGCACAGCTGATTCCTTTTATTCCTGTGTGTCTCAGTGTTCCAGGTCCCTGGACCTGTGCTAGGGATCACTGCTGCAAACAGGCATGTGCAGCTTCTCCTCACCATAACATTCAACCTCTAGCCAAAGTGAGAAGGAGAGGGGGGCAAAACCCCAAACTTATGTGCAACATCATAAAGCAGAAGAACCAGATTTTGCTGAAGATGTGGTTGGTTTGTTCTCCTGACAAAGTTCTCTAAAATCTCTGTCTCAAAGCCTGCGTTCCTCACACAGGCAGCTCTGTGGAAAGCAGGTGATTACAGCAGGTCTATGTGAGGCAGAGGTGTGTGGGTGTCACAGGAAGGGCACAGCTCATGTCAGGGATGCTGCTCATCCAGCTGGGAGGTGGCTGTAAGACACGGGGTTTGGGACATTGTTCCTCTGCTGCCTCAAGGACTAGGGAACAAATTTTCTTCAAAACAAAGGTCCCATGAGGGCTCATGGATAGTTGACAAGGGGGAGAGGTTTTTCTTGAGGTGTTGACAATATACAACCTACAAAGCCCCATCAGCCTTACTTCTTGCTTTCTCCTTGTCCCTACTCCACTGCTCAGCCATATCTTCCCCCCTGGTTACCATCTGAGGACAAAAGCTGCTGAGATGCACACAGGTTGCCCAGCAAAGTTGAAATGCAGCAGGTGAAACAAGGATAGGAGATACCTGAAGATGATTGGTGCCAATTCCTACAAAAATGGACCACAAGTGGAGAAAAAAACAGAAAGGCTGATTGAAGAGAAATGGTTTAAGTGTAGATAGGGACTGATTAATACCTCAGGTGGGAGCTGCTGTCTGCTCAGGTGTGTGACAAAGGGCTCCCTTAGTGACCAAACTGATCTATGCTACTGCAGCACGAACTTATGCATGGGATTGCCCAGGGGCAGCACTGCACAGTCCAGCTGAAAAAGAACCAGACATGTGAGAGTTTTTCATTAGCAGTTTTGCTGCTAACCAAACCAGCCCAGGTTTGAGGCAGAAGTCTGTTTTGGAAACTTTTAACCCTTTCCTCTACTGCTGTTGCATTATTTTCAAAGTATGATTCTTCTCTTATACTCAAAATAATGTCTTGCTTACAAGGATTTTTGCTCATATGTACAAACCCCAGTAAAGAAAGTTGAACACAATATATACACTGGGAAATATAATCCTGGAATACGTGTCAATGACGTGATTGTTCTGTAAAATAATCCTGCCCACGTTTCCCTTCAGAGATCTCTTCAAGCGAGTTGATTCCACATTGGAGATGTTGGTTTCACTCGTCCGAGTCTCATTCTCCTCACAGGGGTCTGAGAAACCAGACAGGTCCATGTCCACATCTGTGTCGTGAAAGCAACCGTCAAAAGCCATGGCTTGCACTGCGTCCATGTACACTCCTGAGGCCTGGCAGCAAAGAAGAGTTAGTCTGTGTCTGCCGGAGGCATTTCAGTAAATTATAAACAAATAAAAGAGGGAGTAAAGAAAGCTTTCCCTTCATTGTTGTTCCCTCTTAGAGAGCATATGGAGAAGAGGGTTTACCTCACAGTATGGCAGTCTATGGGCAGGACATGAGCAAGGAAGGGGGTGCACATGGTAAAATACTCCTGTGTGACTTGATTATTGCCAGCTGCTGGCTGGCAATACGTGCCTCAGCTTCTGAAACAGAAGAATCAAACTCTTTCCTGTAGGTCTGCACTGCTGGAGCTGTGGGAAATGACTTCCAACATTTCCATCAGATCATGTGAGCAACACATGCACCCTTTCTGTGGTTTTCCCCTTGTGATATGCCAGCAAATGAGTTTACATGGGGGGATATTCTTGAAGCAAAGGTTTTAAGTGAGCGCTTTACAGAAAGCAGATGTTTAACTTGCAGCCATTTCTGCTTGAGGCACACTTTTCTAAAAATGACCTTGTCTTGGGACAAAAAGGCATCATTAAACCCACCTTTCCAACTGAAAATGGCAAAGAAGGAAAAGGAGAAATGGACCCTGCTTGATAGGAAATAGGAAGGAATATCACGAGTGCATTCCGGGGTCTGTTTCAGAGACAGGCAAAATGCTTTGATTGATAGGTATTTGAGAACAGAAGGAAGGTTTTGCTCTGAGGGGGCAAAAAAGGGAGAAAAAAATCAGGAAGTAAGTATTCCTTAATTGCTACAAGAAAAGGAAGGAAGAAAAAGCATTGAGCTTCTCAGGATCTCAGAGAAAATGATACATTTCCTCCCTTCAACCAAGTCAAAAAAAGGTGAGATACAGAGTGACACAGAGATAGTTACTGTTCTTTTATCACAGTGGTGTATCCAGATTACTCTGTGGCTTCTATGGTGCTTTCTGAAGGCAACAATACACAGAGGACTGTACCTTGCCCCTCTTTTTGAGTTGCTTTCTCTCTTCAATTGTGGTGAGATAGTTCACTGCTGCATATTCAATGACGGACAGGAAGACAAAAAGGAAGCTGATCCATAAATACACATCCACAGCCTTTATGTAAGACACTTGAGGCATTGAGGCACTTACTCCTGTCATGATGGTTGACATTGTCAGCACTGTCGTTATACCTGCCAGAGAAAGAGGGCAGATTATCCTAACCCTGACCAGCTGGTTTTGTGCAGCTCATCACTGTCCCTTGGACACCATAACTTTGTGAGGGCGTAGGACTCACATTGCCTCTAACTTTATCACACAGACTCTGAGAAGTAGACTGAACCATGAAGGACCCATCCCGTGCAATACTGAAACCAGTAAATCAGCCCTCTGCTCAGAGCATGCAGTTGGAGCTGCAGCACAGCAGCTTTTAACAGCACAGAAATGAGGATGGTGATTGTCATAGTTCTGATTTCAGCAAGGAATTTTTCTTTCCCTTCCCCCCTGTGTGTGTGCTCGGTTGATAAGCCATCAGGTGAACAAAAGAATTGGCTTGGTCACTAATGGCCGAGAGATTAGTCTCCTAGCAACAAAGGGGGAGGAGTTGGGGAGGACTACTGGGGTGTGTGACTGGAAGGGGTTGGAGGCTGGGGGAGAGCTCACTCTCTCTGCCCTGAGGGGAGCTGCTGCAGGCTGCAGACACTGCTGGGTTTCTTTGTCTCTTTCCTGTAGGAGGGGAGGTTTTGCTGCTGCTCGGCGTAGCTGTTACTGGCTGCAGACCCTGCTTACAACGGACCCTAATCATCTGAAGTTCGTGAGTTTTTCTTCGATTGGGATTGGGAGAACTTTCTGTTTTATTGCTGTTGTTTTTCCTTCTCCTTCCCCCCCCCCCCCCACCTGGCGGCAGCCAAGGATCTCACAGCGCCACCTTGTGACTACTATAGGACACTACAAGTTCTGCACCTTCAGTAACCCAACAGCGCCACCTGGTGAATGGTATAGGACATTACGAATTTTGCATCTCCAGTGACCCGACGGCGCCCCCTGCTGACTGTGGCTGGAACCAAAGAGTGCTAAAAATTGAACTATTTAAATTTTCCTTTTCCGGTTTATCGGTTTTGTTCTTGAAGGGGATTATTGGTGGGTATAGGAGTATTGCTTGGTTGTTTTACTTGGTTTTTTTTCGTGTTCCTGTTAATACACACATACCTTTTAATAAAGGGCTGTTATTTTTTTGTTTTCCCTTTTCCATAATTTGTTTTCCTTCAATCGGAGCCTCTTAATTTTGGATTTATAATTGCTTAGAAAAAGAAGTTTGGGTCTTTTCCTCCTAATCCATCCTCAGCAAAAGACCCTTGTCCCATTTAAACTGGGACATGATTGAGCAGCGTAAGGAGCACATTTCTGTGTCTGCTTTGGGCACTACTGTGGAGAAATGAAAGCAGGTTTGTGGGCTTCCTCGCTTCTCAGAGTTGCAGTTGCCACTGCACACTTTCTTGTCCAGGAGAATCCCTAAAGAATCACCAATTTTCCTCCCCCAATCCTTTCTCAAATTGTACTTCTCGAGAACATTTATCAGCTTGTATGTCTCTGTCATAACTCCTTGGCTTTCTGAAAACAATCACCATGTTGTTTACTTCAGTGTGACCAGAATTTCACCCTCATCTTTTCAATCTCTCCTCTTACATCAGCTATTCCTCTCATTTTGGTTTGCTCCATCTCAGAAAAAAAAAAACCACCTAACACCTGACTCAGGCCTTGCTTTTAAAGAAATTAATGCGACACTGGAAGTGAGACAGCCCTAGCCTGTGAGCTGGGTCTCAGAGCAGTCCTTCTCCAGTCCTACACTAGTTCAAGTCCACTGGCACACACAAAAGTTTTCCCTCTCCCTCTCTTCAACCAAGTTCCTTAGGTTGAAAGATGGAATTTGAAATATATACCATATAAGAGGAAATCAAATTATTTAAAATACATATACTCTAGGCTTGGGAGCTAAGCTTTTTAACCTTTGTTGTTAACATTGCCTATGAATTATGGATGCTTATGCTAATGAAGTGTGCTTTATTCATAGAACTCCTGATGCATAACCTTCTGCAGAAACCCATATATAAAGAACATGATCAGCAAAACCATCTTGTCAACATTAAAAACAGCCTACTGAGATTTAAAAAGTTGTTTTTAAAGGTGAAGTTAAATTTCTTATAAATAAAAGGAATTAGCAAATGCATTAATAATATATACTCATTCCAAGGTGATCAGAATTAAATTCCCAACAAAGGGTAGTCTTGAAGTGGCATTCTCTGAAAAAAAACCACAATAAACTTCTAGAGAAATTCCGGTGTAATTAGTCCTTTTTCTCCTGAGCTGAGGTGTTCAGAACTAAAACTGCAAGAGCAGAAAGATGCCCAACTTACTATTTGGCTTCCACAGAAGACTGTGCCTTACACAGTTAAGACACCAAACATTTTTAAGATGCCTAGCAAAGGAAGGCTTTGCTGCAATGGGCAACTGGTTCCAACTTGGTAGGAACATAAGAAATGTTTCTAGATAAAAAAAAGAGCTGCAGAGCTTTTACGCAGATTGTGCTATGCTTAATGAACCATGGATTTGGGAAGGGATCTGACTACCTGTTTGCTGGGAAGAGGGAAGGAAAAAGCCTAGGCTTTGCAATTAGGTAACATTCTACATCACAAAGTCTGCAGAATCATTTCTTTTTCCTTCCATGCTGTGTGACCCTTTTTCTAATGTAACAAATCCAATCTGAACAAACATTTCATTTCTACATGTAGAGGTTGACTAAAGGTGGTGACAACAGTGGCAATAATAGTGTCGTTGAGGCAATTACTGGATATACTTGCTCACGTCCTGTGTAAATAAGAAGCTAAAGTAACTTCAAAGCCTCTCCCCCCTCCATTCCATACTTCCCAAAGAATATACATTAGAGACTCACCTAGTGATACCCTGGCCGGAACAGCTCTTCTGTCAATCCAAAATGAAACCCAAGACAGCATCACCATCAGCATGGCTGGGAAATAGGACTGCAGCACAAAAAAGAAAATGTGTCTCCGGAGGGCAAAGTTGATAAAAAGTCGATTGTACCAACCTATTGAAAAAAAAGGGAGAGGAACAGAGTGGGGAAGAAAAGAAGACAGATGTGTTATTCATGAACTGTTTGCTGGCCTCCTACTTCCAGCAGGAGTGATATATTTACATCAGTAAGAGTAAATGCCTAAGAAAACTTGTCACCACCTTACTTTAACGTGGTACTTTGCAAACTGCCCATTGTACCTCAATAAAGCACTGCTGCCTTGGGAGTGAAACATCACGAGCACACACATAAAATACTGTTAGAACTCAGGATAGGAAACTGGAAAGATTAAACCAACTTCAGGTGAAACTGCCAGGAGAATACACACAGGATATAATTTTCCAGCGCAGCCAATGCCCTGTCTTCTCCAAAAAGCAGCCTGTCTTTTCTCAAGCTGAAAATATCCCGCAAGATGCAGTCCCTCGTTCCCCTCGTCGGAGCAACTTGTATCCCCGTGCTGACTTTGGAGGAGAGGGTGCCATCTAGTGAATTTTGGGGTGTGCTCTGCCTGCGCAGCACAGCTTGTGTGCTGCACCTCCTGCCACGGCAGGGAAACCAATTTAAGAGTGAAGTGAAAATAAGGGAAAAAGTGGGTGGCTGCCTGTCCAGGACATCCATGAGCCAATGCTGGAGGAGTCACACCATCACAACGAGTGACTTTATAGAAAAAAATATACCAAAGTTAACCCCAAATAATATTAAACACACTTTATTGTGTTTTCAGTTGTGGAGAAGGTTTGTTGTTTGAAGAATCTCTGAAATGGATTTAATTGTTGCTCCTTTGGAACCAGGGAACTCCAAAAGCCTAAACACTACACTGAGATTCACAGGAAACAATGTGTGGAACCTGAAATGCAGAAAGCTGCTTTGTGAGCAACATTTTAATCCATTTTTTCCTGAGATTTTAGGGGGAGATGACTCCCATTAGAGTTGTGCTGATTGTTCAACGCTATTATTTACTTGGCAGGTAAGTTTTCTTACTAAAGAGAAAAGTGGGACCTCTTGAGCAAAACAAAAGCTCAAAGCCAAAGTATGTCTACAAAGGGCAGCATTCTAACAGATATGCTACTAAGCACCATTTAGGTACTTCCCAGTGGTCCCTCAACTTAAAGGTGAAAGGAAAGACTTTTTTTATGTTGCTGAGTTAAGCTCATCATCAAAACGTTTGCATATGAGTGTTAAGCAGTTACACTTTGCAAAGCCAAACTGCTGCAAAGCCCTGGGCACCTGTGAGAGTGCACTGCTGAGCACGAGGCAGTATTTGCTTGCCAAAGTGTTTTTTGATGAGAATGGCAAGGCAGAGAGAAGCCAGCTGAGTTCCCAGAATGCAGTTTGAACACACAGTGGCAGCAGTTAGGTGGAAAACATCCCAGCCTCCCTCTTGCAACTCTAGGACAACTGTGACGTCGCTCTCAGCAAGGCACAGTTACCGCGGTCAGGTACCGCTCGCCTATTCTCACGCGGCAGTGGCTCTGGGGAGCTGCAGCTCCGTTCTCAGCTCATAAACGAGGAAGAGATAAGGAGGAAGAACCTGATCAAGCTGTGAATTCCTCATTGCTTAGGCTGCATCACAATTAAACTAGAATTTTTGCACTCGATATCACCCACCACTACCTCCACTGGTTCTTTTTGAAATGCAAAAAGAAGCAAACCTGTAAATAAAATACAGGCTTTTTTTCTCCCCAAAGTGTTATGCACTTTATTTTATTACATAGAATATTTTCTATTTTATCTATTTGTCTTGATATAAAGGGCAATATCCCAGGTGAAATGAATTGACTCAGACTAGGAAGGGCAGTAGCAAGCATGCTATTTTCTCTGGTTAAAAGTATATGATTAGACTACTTACACAGAGAAATATTTCAAAATTTATGATTGCATGTACAAATATGAAGAAAACAAAACCCACCTTGAATGAAATCAAGATTACAATAAACTCCTAAAGCCTTGTGCAGTTTGCCAGAAAGTACAGTTCAAGATCTATAGGGAGAAATAAAAACTTGCCTTGGGCAGATTAACCTGGATTTAAACTATGTACTACTGACATAAAGGGATTTTTTTTCTGCAACTTTCTGTATAAACACAGAACATTAAGAAGACCTCAACAAGTAATAAATGGTCTCAAGTGGAAATCCTTCATTTAGTGGACTTTTAATGACATTATACAGCTCAAAAATAAGGATATTTTAGGCAATAAACCACACTGGGATTCCTCGTTTGCTTTCTAATATTTGACCCTTCAGGATTTGCATTTTTGAGGTTTTCTGTATAGCCAGGACACAAAGATTCCTATAAACTCAACACTCCAGTGGCTGCAGCATATGTGCATTTTATTTTTTCAGGTTCTTAATGTCAGATATTAAGTTACAAGTATTATTACAGTCTCTTCTTCTGATATAAAGTGCTATATTAGCAATATAAAGAGAACCAAGGCCCCAGATTGACAAAGCAGTGTGACTGACAGAACTGATCTCGGAGCAGCAACAGTAATTTATTAGCAATCAATTTGAATGTGAAAGACATTCTGCATGATTGTGTCTTGTGCTTGTTTCTCCTAAAGAGAGGCTTACTATACCAGTACTGCTGTAAAAAGCTAATCCACTGGAAGCACTGAATTCTTCGATGAAAAACTGGGAGAGGGAGATTTGCTCATCTGTGGTCAAGGACTTGTTTCCATGTTTCCAGTACAACATCAGATCATCTTCATTGTATGCGTCTATGAGAGAGCAGAAACTAAAGTTACAAAGTCATTTAAGTTATAAAGTTACTAAAGTAAAGTCACCCCTTCTGCTGGAATAATGCTTTTGTTTTCTTTTGTTAGGGGGAGGAGACCACTCAAGTCCAGGAAAGCCCCAAAGAAACTTTTTTTTCATAGAAATTTGCCAGTTAGTTGGCATGAAAAAAAATTTGCAAAGACTATATTCCATCCTGTTAAAAGTGCAGGCCAGTCCTGTGCCCTGGCAGCAGCTTACCTGACAGGTGAAGACATGGGGGTGCTCAAGGTCACAGGGCACACAGGATCAGAGCTCTGGAGCTGCCACTGAGCAGATCCGTTTTCTTTTCCAAGACTAAACAACAAACCAGCATCCCAGTTTTACTTATAATTCAAATAAGAATAAATTTTGAAGTGTGAAAAGGCATATTGATATTTTACTTTTAACTTGCACTCTTTTTTTCTCAGAGAAAAAAATCCCCAAATATGTTTTTTGACAGATTTTTAGATTTAGGCCTTGGAATATTAGTCCAGTGGAAGCAAAGGAGGGTGCATCATAGTTTTTCTAGCTTTTCAAAGCTCACTGAGTTCTGGAATGATCTCAAGCTGTTTACAGTTTAGTATGTACATGTTGAAGGGTTCAGGTCACACATCAAAATAAGTGAAAGGGGTGTTGTGAACAAGGTGGAGTGCTGGGAAGAATACACTCGTGAAGGAAAATTATGAATTAAACTTACAGCTTTCCAGTTCTAAAGAACAGTTCTGAGTGTCCAGAGGAAACCTACTGAAGTCCATGAAACACATAGCAGAAACTGTTATTCTGCAGAAAGGAACAGAAAAACAGAAATAAAATGAGAAATTTTGTACATTATTAGAGCTGTGCAGATAGATATCTTAGTGAGATCCCCAGCCAATCTGCTCCTTAGAATCCTAATGACTTTTTCTGCCCTTTCAGCTGCTTCTGAAATTGCCTCAAGGTGGTGAGATAAAGTTAAATCAGTGAGAGATCACCTTTTTTTTTAACAGAAATAGTCTTTATTATTAAATAGAGTACCTTAGATTTTTAAACCCTTTACTGACCTGATCCTTCATTAGCCTTTCACACGTTTTGCTTTGAAGGGTTACACTTATGAAGATTAACAAAGGGAGTTCACATTTCCTGACTTGATTTCTCATAGATTGAAGTAGATAATATCGCAGATTAGAGCAGATATTATTCCAAGTGCTATTTTCCCAGTTACAATGGTTAAAATATGTAATTGCATAGAAAGATAAGCTGCAATGTCTGGAAGCCTACTCTCCTCTTCAACATCATGGAAATTTAATGCTTTATGCACTAAAAAGCTTAAGGAAATCTAGGTAAAGACTATTTTGCATTCCACCTGTTTTTTTCACTAATGTTTTGAGGATAAAGAACCCCTTGGCATTTTAACGAATAAAAAACAAAAAAAATCCCAAACCTGCTAGAGGCAGCAGAGACATTCTCACATGGAGAATCCCTGATAAAAGCCTTACTGCAGCAGTGTAGTTGCTTTGGTCACTCCCTCTCTCTCAAAAATCATGGAAATAAATAAACAGAACAATAAAAAGCACACTTCACCACATTGTTTCTTACTGGTCAGTGTGATTCTTGAACATGCACTACTTTAAAGTGGTGCACTGCTGTTTGGGAGGGTCCTGCATGCCCTCATAGAAGAGTAGATAAATTCATTAATTGTTGGAACAATTATTACACAGCCTAAAATCTCTGGGGCTTCCATAAATCTTTATACTATCCAGATTAGATGAAATATCACCTCTGTGTACAGGGTTAATTAGTAACCAACTGCAGAACTGTGATTTCTGCAATACATGGCCCTCAGAGTCCTTACTCTTGGGGGAAAACTCCTCCTCCATTAAAACTATTCCTGCCACATCATCCAAACCTGCTTCGTAAAGCAAAGCAGTAACATGTAGATGGAAGAGAAACACATTTCAGTTCTGGAGTTGCTGTCTCACTTTCCAGTTCCTTGTAGTCACACAACATACCTGCCTAACACTGCTGGTATCAGCACCAATAATCTGCTTCCTGTGCCTGTCCAGAGCCCTGAGGAGTATCAGTGGTATGTTTATGGGTATCCCAGGAAGCAAATAGCTGAGATAATTTTAAAATAGGCAAAAAAACCCAAAACCAAAACAACTGTGTTTTTTTCTTTGCTAATAATACAAATAATAATATACAATAAAAATAATAACATAAATACTCAGCAATAAATCTATTGCAATCTTGCAAGTACCACTGGCCATGAACGAACACTTGATTAACTGCCATTATCCTGTGATAGGAAACAATAAACATGTTCTCAAGCCTAAATTTACTTTCCCACTGCTGCACTGGTCACCAGTCCCCCACTAATCCCCACTGGATTAATGCCAATCCAGTATGAGAATCTTCACTGCGAGTATTTCCAGTAATTCTCACTGCCCAGACTACTGGCCCCCAGTTGCAGTGATGTATTTTCTTACCTCAGGCTGAAGAGAACATTGCCATCAGGGTATACTCTGAGCATGATGTTTTCCACAGTTGTATCATGGATGAAAGATCTTTTGGAGTGCACAAAAAACACATCAGGTACCCAGATCTTTTTTATCAGTCGCCCATCAAAGGTCATGCTCTTGTTTTTGTTACTGCGAAATGAAAGCCTCTCGTCCTTCCAGTAGTGTCTGAGATACAAAGTCATTGTAAAGTCCTTTGTTTAAAGAAAAATAAAATAAGACAATGCTTGTTTTAGTTACATGCAATAGAAAACAGGACAAATTAATCAACTTGTGCAAATTATCAATTTCTTCTCAGGATATTACCTGAAGGATCCTCAATGAGGGGAATCCAACATCACTCAATGAGTTAAAATACAGACTGAAACTATCACTGAGATACTGCTTGTTTACCTTGTCACTGGTGGCTGAGTCTGAGGTTCATAATTGATTTATATTTAAATAATAATCCAGTGGTCTTCTGGACTGGGTCAGCAGTGAAGTGATAAAAAGGTTTTGAAACCAGCCGAAGACCAATGGAAAAAGGTTTCCCCTGGAAATCTTAACAACCTTCTCTGAGAATGGACTGTGCTTCCTTTAAAAATGAATTGGTTTGAGTTCTTCATGAGCATTAGACCAACTTTTAAAATCCATAAATTTGTACATCTTGTGCAAATATGGTACATTAGCACATTTATGAATTAAGTGCATCATAAAGAGACAATATGAAGAATCTCATAACAGTATGCAATTAGATTTTACAATAAATATTTTTAATACAAAAGATTGTTGCAAGCATTTTATCATCCTATTTAGAGCAACATCGTGACAGCTAATATACATGTGGAAAGAGATGAAGAGGGTGCTGCAAACCCAGTCTGAGCTTTCTGCACAGCCTGACTGCTCTGTGTTCACCTGTATCACTGTTGGCATCTATCTCAGCAGAACAAGTGCCTCTGATAAGAATACTGAGAAGATACTTAGGTCTTTCCTTGGAATATGACCTGCATGCTTCTAGGCAAGGTTGTGCTCTTTAAGGGTCTGCCTTCTTCAACTCCATTATTCTATATCATCCAGCTGGATGTTTCTGAGACTTTGAATTTTGACTGAAATCCTTCATTCTGTTTCTTACTCATCCACTTACCATGTCAACTTCAGATATGCTGTCAATGCTTTCTACCTGCACATCAATGCCCACAGGTATTGGTGAACCTGCAATGTAACAGAACAAGTGGTGAGGAGCATAAATTCACATTTTTAAAGGGAAGACTGTGCATTAGCAACACACAGAGAGTTTCCCATCCCAGCATTCACTACAGCTTCCCCAGTTTAGCACACTGAATGAGATGGCAACAAAGTAAAACCTGATGCCAAACAGTTGTAAAAATAAGCACAAAATCTTTAGAGATCTATTTGCATCCAGAGCAGCAGTTATTGGCATTGCAGTTTGGACAGCAAGGAACAGCATCCTTGTGATGCCAAAGGGAAGGAACTCCTTGGAGTGGTATTTAGAACAGGGAAAAGTTGAATAAATATATGAAATACCTCAGAGGTTGCAAAGCTTTCATAACCAGTTCCAATGTTGATTGCCACACTTGTAACTTTATATACCACCCCACTACTTCAAGCCACTGAAAAAGGCTGCAAGTCTTTAACAAGGTGGGATTTGAATGAACAAATCGTAAAAATGTATTCGCATTTTTAGAATAAAGTGACTAAAAATCAGTCAAAAATTACAGCCAAATATGAAACTATTTGTATTCTTGTCAGTGTACACTATCAAGAATGATGGATCTAATTCTCCATGGGCTATGTACCTGTGCAATTTTCAGCAAGAACATCATTCCACTTATTGACTGATCACTTCCTTACAGATGAGGGACAGAGGAATATGCATAGGTGTGTAAACACCATACACACCACCCTCAAAATATTTTGCATTTGGCATGAAAATCAGTAGGATTTATTGTACGTGGGATTCCAATTACACTTGTAAAAAACAGTTATTTAAAATATCTTTAAAGTACACATTTCAAATAACCTAGTAAAGACACAACCAGAAGGAAGTCTGAACAGCAGCAAACAGAAACAGCTTTTCTAATTTGTCTTTCTCTTTTTGTTGTCTTTTCCTTTTAGCAGTGCCAAGTCAAAATAGTCCAGAAACATCACTCTCGTGATAACCAGCCACAATACTGTGTCTCCCTTGGGAATTATCCTTAAAATAGTAGCCTTTGAGGATTACACAGCTGCTTCCAGTTCTTACCAGTAGGGATCTTGAACTATTTTAGAGGCATAATCCCTTGATTTGACTTGTAATTTTAATGGAGAGTTTGACCCTGCACAGAAAAGATGAAGATGCCTTGTGCATGGGAAAGGAAGATAAGATGTGTTTAGAGCTAGCAGGGCACAACAGAACATATTTAGGCACTGACAAAACCTGTGCTGGCTGGCTTGGAAATCCTTTGAGGGAATGCATCACTCAGTGTCAAAGCTCAAAACAAGACTCAGGACTCCAGAGCGCAAAGTTCAACTGGTTTATTAGTAAAACACAAGGCAGCACGTCAGAAAATGCTGCTTCTTTTGGAGAATTTGGATTTATACCTGATGTGAACATCGTTCACAAATGGCATTTGTAATATCATTTAAATACAAAGAATTTCTGTCAAATTATGTGAGGGGAACAGGAGGAGAGTGGAGCGACTCTCAACATAAAAAAAAAGTTTAACCATTTTCTGAACCAAGGTCAGTTGATCTAAAGCAAATCAAATTAAATGTCTACCATTAACATTCTTCAAACAAGAAAAGGAGGCACCCATAAATCATACCCCAGAATAGGACGAGTGATTTTCCAAGCCATCTGCCACATGTAGTGAGGAGAAGGCTTTCCTTAGTGACAACTGCTCAAAATGTGATGATGGCAGTCCTAATATTTCTTGGAATTTCAAAAATTATGGTTTCTTACATTATTCCAGTGTGGGAGGAGTTTCATTCAGTAATTCACCTCCTCTGGGTAGATATAAACTGAACACAGACCCAGAATTCAGTAGCAGCTTATGCTGATGATGGTTACATGCACACAAACCAAAGTATCACTTAGCCATGAACACACAGAGCGACATTTGATTCGTTGAAAGGAAACTTGCACTGCACTGGCAGCTCTTATAAAACTGTGAACAGTGGGGACAATGAATAGCATAAAAGAAATCAAAACTTGTGGCCAGAAGAAATGCAGTAAATGATTCTAAAGTGAATGAAATAAAAAGGGAAGAGTTACAATTGAATTTATTCCTGATTAGTGAAAATGCTAGAACTGTGAAACAGATTCCTCAATAAGAGTTTTCTCTTCTCTGTCTGGAGAAAGACCAAAGACTGTATTCATGATGCTTAATAAGAAAATACTGTTCAGTCCAGCATTCACCCCCAGGCAGTTATTCAACCACATCCCCTACCGCAGCCCTGACCTGTTACTGAAAGATCTCAGCTGCACGTATTTCCTTCCTATTCTGACTCTGGCAAAAAGTGTAAGGAGATAATAAAGACACTTCTCACTGCACATATATACAGCCCTGATCTTCTCTGTGTGCTCTTGAATTTTGTCATCTGGAGCACTTGCATATTGCTGTCAGTAACACACACACAACACCCCCATAAGATACGTACTGGCCTTACTCCTGCCTTTCTAGGAACATTTCTTTCTGTGATCAGCACCCAAGTCCACTAGAAACAGTAATAATTAGCTATCAGCAACAGGTTGCTGAGAACTGTGTTTTCTTCCTCCTTGGATTTGTTTTACCACAAGAGGGTGTTTTTAAAAAACATAATTTCAACAAGAATTGGAAAGATTCCTAAACCAGCCTCTGCATCTGCAACACATCTTTCTCCCTGGCACATTGAGAATTTCAGTCTCTGGCTGACCATCAAACAGCAGCAAAGTCACTTCTAAAAAAAAAGGTAACCAGACCAAAGCTGGGTTTTTTATTTCCCAGTTTGACAAAACTACGGATGGCAGAGAGGATTTTGTTATTAAATTGAGCAGCTTCAGTTGCTTCTGGCGAGTCACTAGAAATCATTATTTTAGAGGGATTAATGATTTCACAATGGAGGCTCCACAGATTTTCAAGATAATTACTCCTCAGCAAAAAAACAAAACCAAAACCAAAACCAACCAAACCAGCATTGTTTTTACAGTCTTTTATCTGCAAAATTCCTCGACGACCATGGAATTTTTTCAACAGACAGTACGTCAGGCCAAATTCCACAATACCCTTTTTAGAAGGGCTATTATGTAAAAAGGATACCCTTTTAGTATTTTTAGGACCAATTTCTACAGTATATAATGACTGGAATTCTATAGTAATTTTATAGTAGTCAGGTCTTTGAGCACACAGCAAGTTCCATAAAATAAATGCTGAATTTAGAAACACTAGCCACTGTATCCCAGTTGGTTTTGTAACTGTGTGGGGAAAAAAGTCCCCAAAGCCTACAGAAAGTTCCCAGTAGGAGACAGAGACCAGGAGAGGATTAAGACCTATGGGATTACTTTCTTCTAAAAAGGTTTGTGGACCTGTAGAGGAAGAAAACTGTATAGAAATGTAAACAAGCCCCAGGGAAGTGAATGTATGTGGATGTGTTTACTTTCCCCTGGCAATGATAGAAACAGGAGAATTACTGGCAATAATATTTTTGTCTTGGTACTGCTCTGTTTCTTTTTTATTTATGTGAGAAATGAAGGTAGACTGGTATTAGCAGTAGTCAACTGAAAAATCCATTGAAGTACTTTGGGTCACGGCAGAAGATGATACACAAACCATGACAAGATCTGCCTCTTAGCCTACTCATAGTCCTTTGCTTCTTTTGGTAGGACCTGTGCAGACACATAGCCCTACCAGGACTGGCAGGAATCATCATACCATCGCAGAAATCCTCACATTCCCACCTCATGGCCTTTGTCAGTGCCTCTGGAACCAGCAAGGCCCAAACAAAATTACTACGATGCTCACTGATGCAGTTGGTAAGGCTGTAAGAGCGAAGGAAAATTCCATGCTCCTAGTCCAATTCTAGTGGAATTACTCAGATCATTATTCTGGTCCACTTCTGTTTGCATCAGCAGGGGATCCATCTACTGGAGACTTCCAAACAATGCCAGATCATGACATTACACAGAAGGCAACAATCAAACAGCAACAAAAAATTCAGGAAAGGAAAAAAACACCAACACCACACCTCTTCCACCAACAACTGAAGAGCCTGGCTTAGGGAGTAAGTTAAGAAAGATACACTCACATAAATTACAGCAGATATGTTTCCATTTGGTCAAGAAAAAGGATTTCTTACCTCCACAGAGCAATAATAAACTGTAATGAGAAAGCAACCAGTCATGTGAGCAAAGTCACAATTAATCCTAGTAACACTGCAGTGAGTAGCAACAGTATCCAGCAGTTCCACATTCATTTCCCCCAGGTTCTTCCCTGTGCATGTTTGCTTAGTTTATAAATCATATAGAGCTGTGCTCTGTTTTTCATTTGTAACTTAATTACAGATACTAAAAACTCTAGGTCCTTTAATCTGCCTCATTTACATTGCATGTGTGGGGCTGAATGAAATCAAACTTTTAGATTTAAGAGTTCAGTGCACTGAGGAATCTCCAGCAGGTTCAAAACAGCATGAATTTTCCAGCTGTTTTTATTTTCCCAAACTGGTGCAAAGGAGGATTGACTGACTGAGGGAAAGGGGCACAATGGAGCCAGATTAACAAAATCTGTCATTCCAACTACCTAAAATACCCAGAAAATCCCAATAAGGCATAGGAGAGGGGGAAAACATTGCCCCTTTTCTAAAGGTGGAGAATAAATTCTTGTTTTCCATCCAACTTTTTTGACCTGATATTATTTTCCTCTGTTTTGAACTGATGAATCATGCTGAGCTGAATAAATCATGCAACGTGGCATGTGACACATACAAGCCCCTCATAAATCACAATGCTGAGATGCTTCGTTACCTCTGATGAAAACAAACCCAAAATTTCACCTGCTTTAAATACACAAAGCCAGAGTAAGTCCTTATGCAGTTCAGGGCTGTCATTGCTGTGGCAATGACATCTCTAATTTCAACTTCTCCTCTAGGTGAGTTTCCTTTTGCTGCACACTAAATCACCATCATTCTTCTGAGAAACCCATACCCTGCCTCTGCTGTCACAAAACAATTCTCAGTATATTATTCAGATTCAGGTTTCAGTTGTGATAAGAGCTGATGAGAGCAGCCTCTTGTGAAAACCAAACTGTTCTTTTTTACCGCAACATCACTAAAATCAATGGTAAAACAGGAACAATGGAGTACAGATTTGGGATTTCCTCACTGCCCATGGAAAATTACAACTGCTAGATCACAGGGTATTTTCTCAAAGCTTCTCTTATGTATGTACATCATAAGTATTGCTTTCTGGGATGATCCAGCAATGAAGTACATCTCAGACTTCTGCCTGCTTTGATGGAAATACTGCTTCCTTCCTGAGATGACACTTCCAAAAACCTAAATTCTTTTTTTGTGGCAAAGCAGGTGGCAAAAAGAAGAGGTCCAGACTAACAGACATTATGAGGTAATTTGAACTTCTGTTGCCAAGAAACATATTGTATCTCAACCATTCTTCAAAATCAGGCAAGATTTCTGATCTCTGACATGGCATAATTTCTATGGTAACAAGAAACACTTTTGCATGGTCGCAGTGTATCCAGAGAGGCTCTTCTTAACCCGTGTCTCCTGAAATATTTGTCAGGCCCAAGATCCCACCAGCTGGTGTCAACAGGAATAGCTCCACAGACTTCAGCCAGCCTTCCAGATTTATATTTGTCTACACAACTGATTATTGGTCCTCATATTTTATTTTGACTTCATAACCCAATGCAGTTCAGTATATTTTCATGAATCATGAAACAGAAATGGTGACGTAGAGGTTTGGACAAAGTTTAATATAGGGCAGCTTCCTCATTTCCCCTTTCATGAAGGAGAGTTAAAATTGAATCTAAACTGTGAATATCCCATTAAATACTCCCTTTATCCAGATACAATTTAGTTAAATGAAGAAATAATCATCATAGTGCCCATCAACACAGAAACAATGTGGTGATAAACTGAAGGCCTGTGGGTAGTTTTTTAATTCTGCACAGAGCAAAGAGATTTAGGAACTGATAGTTCATTTCAATCTCCCAAAACAAATCTGGTGACTAAGTAATTTGCTAATTGCTACTAGACAATACAGTTTACAGGGACACCTTAATCACTGTTCTCAAAGAATCCTACTCTAATAATATTTTATTTTGATTAGTTCTGTGAAGGAAAAAGTTTGACAAGGACAAACTTCTACTGATGCACTAAACACAGAAAAGTCCCCTTTGCCTTCAAGTATTTTCAGATTTCTTCTTCATTTATTTCCTGAAGTACAAAAGAGGTGCTCTGCCATTAAGTCTCATTCCAGAGAGAGGATAGATGTGTGCTGCTTACCTCCAAATCCAGGTCTCAGTGCAAAGTCATGGTCCTCTATGTGAAGCAGCTGCTCAGATTTAAGTGGCCGTACTTTGGTGCTGTCAAGTTTCCTCATTTTAATTTCTCGTTTGCTATGTTTTAAAAAAGAAAAAAAAAATCAAGAAACTTACTTTTTGTTTTCTGTCTGGCATTCAGATTGCTGGTTAAATGAAGTAGGGACCCAAAAATACCAGACAGCTGAATCTGGTGTGATAAGGGTAACAACTGTAATAATGAAGGCGGAGAAAGATATATTGGGAAAGGTTGGGAAATGAGGTATGAGGGTGCCCAGGTCCGTGAAGAATACCAATTATTTATAAGAAGCCTCAGGAAGAACATCATGATCTCCTTCTGTTCCCCTCAAAGATTGTATCTGTCATTATACAAGAGAACAGAGCTGTTTGAAAGAAAGTTATTATTCACATCAACACATGAAACCCAAACTTGGAAATAACATCACGTACCCATGACTTAACCATTTCATAATATTATCCGTATTAGAGAGACAATTATTGTTTTTATTATAAATGTGGGGTTTTTTCTAGGAATAATTTTTAAGAGGGTCAATAATTTTTAAGAGGGACTGAGAAATTATGACCCTGGATCAAGGGACTTGCAGGGGTAATGGCTTTAAACAGGAAGAAAGTAGGTTTAGATTTTAGGAAGAAATTCTTTGGCTGAGAGGTTTGTGAGGCCCTGGAACAGATTGCCTAGAAAAGCTACAGATGCTCTATCCCTGGAAGTGCTCAAGGCCATATTGGATGGGGTTTTGAGAAACCTGGTCTCGCAGGAGGTGTCCCTGCACATGGCAGGGGGGATTGGCACTATGTGATCTCAGGAATCAATGTTCTATAGTACACATTAGGATCATCTTTCTTATGGTGAGAATAGTGAAACATGGGAATGTATTGCTTGGACAGCTTTTGAGACTCTTTTCACTCAGGTTGTTTAAGAAGAGGTCAGACATTTCTTTGTAGGAATGGTTTAAATACAACTACTTTGCCACAGGCAAGGGATTCTCCCTAGACAAAACTTCTTTCATACTTTCTGTGATTCTCTGGGACTTTGCTGCCAGCAACTCCAATTATTACTTTAGACTGACTGATAGATATCTGTTCTGAAGATTGGCCCTGTAGTCAAACACTGTTTAAGGCACGGTATAGAATGCTTCAGGATAAGTTGTGGGCCTGTATTTACCTATTTTTCTCCTTTCCCCCCTTTTTTCTTGACAATGAAGCCCAAAAATTACTTTAAAATTACAAGAATGCTGAGGGGGCCAAGGGGCTACTCAGAACCATTGGGCTTGAACAAATTATTTTACCTTAGTACCCTTGAAGGTCTGTATCAGTGTTGGCTAAATCAAATGATCAGGGCAATCAGAAGGCCCATCAGGCATGTCAGACACAGCCTTAAGTTTTCCAAGTAGGAAAATCTCATGGATGCTAAAATGAAACACTGTCCTTCAGGGAATTAAAACCACCACAGAGCAAGCCTGTGTTTGAGTAGAATGGGCAGCAGGACTGAACACCTGCAATGGTCTGCAACAGGGAAATTCTGCTGCTTGGGAACCAGTGTAAGAGGAGACGATGAAACGCGCTCTGAATGCCGTGGCACAGCTCACACACTTTGGAAACAGTGGGTTATTTGTCAGCAGATGTGCCAGGAAAAAGGGCTGTTTGATGCTCCCCTGATTTCACTGGAAGAAGCAGTCTGGGCAGAAACCGCCAGGGTGGAAATGTTCTACTTAATAAGCCACTGAGAAGAGATGTTACAGGATTTTAGTATTCTTTCTATTTTCCTGAATGAGGACAAAATAAAAAGAAGTGCTGCCTCTATGAAAAGCATCTCTTGTGCCTACTTACTTGAACAGCTGATGTTTTATATATACAAATGGTGGAATTCTAGAATTATTTCTAGCTGCTATCAAAAGTGGTTTTTCAAGCCAGGCAACGTCTTGCAGGTGTCAGATAAACATGCTACATCTTCTCTTCAATACCTTCCTGTAAGCCTTTACAGTAAAGGAAAATAACATGCAGAGATACATGCTCATAGTACTTGGGATAAACTTCATGGACACTGGTAACATTCCATCTGTAAAGGTACCAAAACTTGAAAAAATTTCATTAAAATTTCTAAGGTAATTAAAGCATAAAAAACTTCTGCTTCACATTTTTTCTCCTATTGACTGCTTCTCACAACATAGGGCTAAGAAGCGTTCTCCAGCAGATACTCCTTTAACATCAGCATCTGGGCTCTCAAAGAGCAGTTACTCACTGCCTACAAAACCACAGCAACTAATTCGGAAGTATTTAAAAATGGACAAAGATGTGTCAGGCTTTTAAAGGTAAATTTAGCTGCTCCTGCCTAACCTTGATTACCATTAGCAAATGAAAGGTCAAAGGTCTGCTCCAGGGTACTTGGATCACTTTTGTTTAAAGCATTTAATCATTTAATGCCACCAGTGTAGTTCCATAGCCCATGGCATTCATGGCACTGAAGTGGTTACTATCCTAGCTGGTTGTCTTCTACATAACCAGGTTATCAGAAGTTTATGCTGGTTCAGGGAGCAATGGGACAAGTTCACAGAAAAGAAATCCACTGAAGAACACTAAATCTACAGAAGTTACATCCAACACAGGATGTATCCGAAGGAAATTTGGTGACCTGACACAGCTGGGAGTACTAGGCAGAAATACTTTGTTTGCCCTGTCCTTATTCTTCCAAACTTGTGCTTACAAACCCTTGTTATAAACTCAGTGCAGTACATGGACCTTTGGTAAGATCCTATATGACTGTTCTTCCGTTTTAGTAGGGAAAAAATACCTTGTTAAAAAATATCTTGTGAAAATAGATAAGTTTATGAAAAGAATAATATTAAGGACCCTTTTATAAAAAGAATACCCTAGATTTCATGGCCATAAGTTTCTTTCCAGTGCTGTGTCCCCAAGATACTCTATCTACTACTAAATCAAAGGTATCCAAAAGATAGAAGTTACAGAAATCTTACTCCCAGAAGAGTCTGTGGGGTTACACAACAGCGTGATCTCTTAAATGTTTTAACAAACTGACCAAGTCTTGAAGACCAGACAAATGTATTAATCAAAGTTATCTAGTTTTCTCTCACACACATAAAAATGCATTTCTAAGTGTTCAGTAACATCAGCAACATACAAATGTCAAAAGGCCAATATTTTGACAATCAAATGTTTTATTCTTTGCTGTAGGAAATGGACCATGAGAATAATCGCTTTCTCATGTACTTTTGGTTAATGCTTTAAAATCTTCTTTACAGGAGAATGCAGACAAATAGCTTTGGAGGGAGAATTGGGTTACTCTATTAAAACAGTGGAACTTGTAGGTTAAGTAATATTTTCACATGGGGTTCTTTTTAAAAGGCCACCCATTTAAACACGACCATCTGTCAGCTGTGTCCCTAATAACCCTCGTGCTGGCTGATTTTTCCCCAGAAAGAATAAGAGGCTGGTGGAATTCAGACCCTGTTGCAATGAAGATAATTCTTACTTTAGAACAAAAACAGAGAATGAAACAAAGAGAAATTAAACACATTTGGACCCTTTGCAGAAAAAGGCTGGATTTGCAGCTGATAAGCTTTGGGATCCTGTGTGGCTCGGATTCTGCAGGTTTCTTCCCAGTTTGAAATCCTTGAGACCTTGGAAGTGGAATATGTGAGATGCAAAGCATGCCTTGTGTAAAGAAAACTGCAGTCCAGGCATTTCTCCTTGTTTCTATTCTCGCTTTTCTGTTAACACCACGCCTGTCACAGGATCGTCACATGGATCCATTTATATGAATTAGTAAAGATCTGTGGAGGTGGAGAGGACACTGTGCTAGTGTTGGTACTGCTGTCCTGTGGCAAGAGTATGTTCAGCAAGATGCCTTAAAATCTGTTATCTCCTACCACCAGGTTTCTTTCCTGCTTTGTGATTTTTTATATTAGTGATGGAGCGACTGCTCTCAGCTACTGCAGAACAGGATAAATGTAAACAGGAGCATATGCTTTCCTTTTAACACAGACAAAATGTATCAGCTGGGCTTAAAACAGACCCTCCTTGCCACTACCATCAGCAATAACAAGGCATTTTATGCTGGTTCCATTTGATTTTTAACTGCTTCCTGAGACAACCAAAGCACCAGATTAAACCTTATGTTGATATCAGGGCTAGTTCTGTTTATTTTCCTTTGTTATTACAAATAATTTTGCACCAGCGTCCACTCACAAAAGTTGTCAGTGAGTTTGAAACAATCTGCTGAATAACCATGCTTTGCATGAGCTTTTGGCTTAGACCAAACTTGAACCTATACCTTCAAAAAGAAACCCAGAGGTACCGAGTGATGCAACATCTCTAGGCACCTCTAGCCTTGCATGGCTTAAACATGATTTTATCAAGACATAAAGGGTTTCAGAGATATCTCCCTGATGGATTATCACATAAGAAGTGGTACAGGAGGTACAAAGCATGCAACTTCAGGAAAGAAAAACCAACTTGAACACATCAGAGGAGTCCACTTATATTCCTTTTCTTCAATATGTGATACTGTACAAATAAACTATGAGCTCTCCTGTTCATTTAGTAGGGGGTCAAGCACACTGAAAAATCTTGCAGTTGTATCCCTTCTCCTCCCTTAAATGGAGATACTTATTCCCAACAAAGAGAAATTTTCCTTGGATCATCACTGGTCGTCATTGCTCTGTTCACATACTATTAGATTAACCTGGAAACATGTTGAGAGACCTCACAGGGCAGACGTGAAATTGCATTTGGGGGCAAAAAGCACTAACACTTTGCACAGAAACTCACATGTAAAAACTTCTGTACCATTATTCATTTCCAACCAGCTACTTGATTGGAAAAAGCACAGAGACATTTTATACTTCAATGTATAAAAGTACAAGAATATTCCAGAAAGGGAACGCACTGTGCCATCACTGTAAATAAGCTATAATTCACCTCATGTAGTGCAATAAAAATGTCTTCTGTATCTTTACAGTGTAGCTACTCTGCTGCTTAGGTAATGGAAGTCACTTGATAACATGAAAGCACTTTGGAAGGCATTTCTTCTTATTTTAATGGGAAATACTTGCTACATCAGTAATAGTCTGGTGTCACACCAGTAGCCTTATATCACACAAGATAAAAGAACTGGGTGTGAGTGGGCATATACCTGCATATATATATGAAGGAGTCATGAAATCACTATATGAAATGTCTGGCTATGAAAAATTAATAGTTCACCATTTCTGTTTTGAGAACACTCTATCAATACTATGTGTTACTATAAATCCAGAAGCAGCAAAACAGGACAGTGAACAAAAACAGAACATTGACAGTTTTCTGACATCATGAAGTTCACCAGAGGAGCATTGACAGATAAAGTATGTTGCTTACCTGGTATGTTTTCTTGAGAAAGATAATTGCTGCCGACGATGAAGGTGGTGGTGCTGACTGTGAGAGCTGTGTAGTGTTGCTGTTGACCACAGGCAGGTGAGGAACAGAAGTTTCATGACCAGGACCATCTCTTCTGAGAGAGAAATGCACCTGATCACCCACTCCACTTTGCTGACTTCTTCTTTACAGTGTTTTTACTGTTTAGAAAGAGCATAGCTTACAAAAGATGCATGGAAAGCAAGGCATCACTGAACAGAAAACAAAGGGGCATCCCAGTCCTGACGTCCTTGCCGAGTTCCCCTCATACTTTGGTAAATCATAAATATTTCCTCAGCTCTATATCCCTGCAGCATCTGCTGTCAAAACAGAAGCACTTGGTTCTCAGAAATGTGGTAGGTCCAGTAGTTTGTTTGGCCAGGCTGCAGTCTGACCCATTGCTTCCACTCTTTCAGCACAAGCGTGTTTTTAAATTCTCCATCACCCGCTCAGTAACCTCTTCCACATCGCCTGTGCAGGCGAAGTGATGTCAAACATTTAATCCCCCTTAAATCCCACACAAAACCATAAAAAAATCTGCCTTAATGACAAAGGTCTCTAAATTAATCTTACTTTATGTATATGTGTGTCTATCTGCACAAAATAATTTTCTACGCAGATCAAAGCTCTTCTGTTAACAGGCTACATTGCGCTGTCTTCCCAGCCGTTAACATCAGTCTCTGTGATCCACAAGCATTTTTTCCACATGCAGAACTACTTTTGGACAAAGCAATATCACAGAACAAGTTCCAAACTAAAAATGAAGTCTTGTTTCAATATTGCTTCCTTTTTTTTCTTTTTCCCCTGAGCTCTTCAGCTCTTTAATCTATGCTAAATAGAGGTATATGTGTGTCTAAGATCTACTATCCTTCCACCAATCCGCATTTAGCCTGCCTTGATTATTCAACAGCAGGTTGATTGCAAAACATTTTATTAACACAGTGTTGCTTAAGCAATGAATTGTGCAGGCCAGCTACAAAAGATGGTGAGCCTTCTTGTGGGCTTAAAACTGGGAAGTGCTGGGGACACATCTCCCTAGATGTCAAATTTATCCTTCTCAAGCCATCAGCAAGTTTAGTTGTTATCACAGTTGACAGTGTATGTTTATTTTTCTTTATTTAGATAAGCAGAGATTTGAGACTGAAGGTTTGGAAAATGAAAAAACCCAACCTCTGTCTCACAGATAGAGGAGTACTTGGGGTCTCCCAGCAGTAGGCTTCTTCCTAAGACAAATAGAGGAATAGAACCAAGCCAAACACTGTGTCTGCTGAGACTGCTAACTCAGCCACCCTGTGACAATAATTCTGTGATGTGGGCATCTGCCTCCTCAGGAGTTCCCTGAGGTTTCCAGCTAACTTCATCTGAGACAAGAAATAATTCCCAGACTATATTATTTTCATGTGGGCGTTATGAATTGACAGCTCATTTCCACTGGTTTTTCCATTTGCAGTTGAACAGCCTGTGACCAGAAAAAACAGTCCTTTTCCAACCATCCATAAAACTTGAACAGTGTTAGACTGAATTTGGTAGCCTAGATCAAAGACTTTCAACCCCATTATCTATCTCATTCAACTGTTCATAGTTTAATCCTTTCCTGTTCAGCAAACTTAGGGAAGATCATTTACAGCCTGACCTAGGGATAGTCAGACAGTGCTTCCAACAGATCTCATGTATTCCCAGGATAGAGTTTCTACACAAGGTAAGCACAACCTGTAGTTAATAATGTCTTTAACAGACTTTTGATCATTATTGTTATAAGTTACTTCTTTCCTTGAATTTTGAAGACGGCAAAAATACCTGCAGAACAAAGAAATATAGCAAGAGATTTTTTATTGCAGTGCTGGTTACCCATTTCCAGCACTGGGTGCACCTCTGGAGCGCACACATTGTTTGAAAACCACGCTTTTTGTAGTCTTTCGATATCAGTTGTTGAATATTCATTCATTGTCCGTTTGTTGCCTTAAAAGGTAATTTCCCTGCTTTGGAGGTGGGTGTTACCTTTTGGCTGGTTGTAACTTATCTCCCCTGGGCTCGTACAGGGGGGTCTTGCATCATCCCCACGCTGCAAGGCATGGAGGGCCTCTCTTTGTATCCACATGGCACAGAGGAATACATTTTTATTTATAATTTGTTCCCTGTTCCCAGCCGCAAAAGATTCCCTGGTGTTAGGTCCAGACAGGACCCTTCACCTTACAGACTCCACGGTACGCCTAGAAGTTAGTAAATATACAGAAATAGTTCTTTTGTTAGTACCCCCTTTTTATTTTAATTTGCTTGGAATAAAACCGGTGCCTTTACTTATCACAATTATCATTTGAATGGAAAAGGGAAAATAAACAATAACTCTAATGAGAATTTATTCCAGGTGGCGATAATATGAGTTCCTAACCCAGTTTGGTTAAGTTCCATAGTCTCACCCAACCTACATATATCAAAGTATCAGACCACTGATTAAATTACATATCATAAAAAACCCAAGAGCCTTTGGATCCTATTCTTTCCCCACCCAAGCACAGGTCCAACAGTAGCAGCATATGAAATAAAAAGCAAACTACACTGCAGGCTGTGTGATAATCTTACCACATTTCTGCACATCCAGCTACCTGCACATTCATTAGTGTTAACTCATTTCCAAAATTTTTCCTCAACCAGAGAAGAATAACAACACTTACATGCTTCCTTCTCCTCTAATTCTGATCATTCACAATGTTTCCAGATACTTTGAAGACAGCCATGTTTTAGAAGTTATTATCCTTAGCTGAAACAAGTAGCTGTTATCCTCACTAAGCAGGAGATATGGAACAGGGAAAGAGAGGATGTTCTGGGTGCTGAGGTTATCCTCCAAGATCTCAGAAGGCATCTGTGGTTAGACCAGGTCACACTATTGCAGAAATTTTGTGTACTGACCTCCAGGAAGTCAAAAGAGTGCATTAAAAACAAGTAAGAAAAATTGCTTTGTATATGTATTTCCCAGCTGGAAAAGGGAGTGCTTAGAACTTCTGCTCCAGAAATATGGCAAAGACAGGCTTTGCAGAATGGCCAAGCTACATATAGATGTCACTCCCTCCAGAAGTCGGGAGTCTTTAGCAGAGGAAGAGGCAATCAGTTGCTGTTTTCATTCAGCTCTCGGCACCCTGCTGTTTTATTACCCTCGGCTGTAGCAAGAACACTGGTGCTGAAAAGACTGCTCCATGGATTTCCAAAACATGCTGAATGCTCCTTTGACTGCCTCTGCTAAACCAGCTTTACTAAAAAAAAGAAAGGTCTTGGGGTGCATTGACATGTTCCACACCTTCACGAAACTGATGCCATAAATATACCTTGAGGGGTCTTGCCTAAACATACTGAAAATCTAAGCACTACTCCTCTGTCCTTGACTGTGGCATATTTCCAGAAACTGTCTGGCCCAGACATGTGGAGTCTTCAGGAGGGATTCCTGAAGAGGGAAATGGAAAACACTTCCACTGACTAACGGGAATATCAGTGGGAGCAACTCACTGTCACCCACGGCAACGGGGTTTCTTCATGCTAGAGCTGTTTTCATTTCCTCTGGGCAAGGGAGCATTACACAGAGAAGATTAAAATATCATTATAAATTGCCATTAAGAAAACAGGTTAATCTCCTAGGCATTTGTCAGTAATAAATTCTAAAAAGATCCATCTTTACAGAAGAATAAAGACAAGGTAATATACTTTGCTTGTGCTGCGTAAGTCGTTGATTGGTTCTTGCGTTCAAACACAAAGCATTTTCTCTTTGCTATCAGTAAAATATTTCTTTGAAATTATCCCTTCTCTGCAGCCCATGAAGAGTTTGCAATGCTTATCTTTCCGGGACAAGACCATAGTGTATTCCCACAAAGTAAGCTAGTTTGCCATATGTATGGCCTCAAAACTGTGCTTCAATCCAAAAAGCAATATACACTGCATGAGATTTTTTTCCCTTATTTCCTTGGTAGTCTTGTTATAGTCAAAAGACCAGATATATTTTTAAAATATATTAGAAATTTATTAAAAGCAAATAAGCAAAACAGCGCGCTGGGAAACCAGGGGAAACTCCTGTTCCACCAATGGTCTGTGCGCCAAAAAATGTGCACTGGTCTTTAATATGTGCCATTATCCCCTCCCCTGTAGGCGCTTAGATGATAGCGGCAGGTCCCGGATGAGGGCAGGAAGGCGACAGACTTCTCTCCACAC